TGATCTCCAAGTATCCATACCTGTTTTTGGCTCTTTCATATCTTTCAACTTTTATTTGTTGTTTGTGTATTTGTTACTATCACTGACTGTGGTCTTCTGATAACGCATCAGGTGGTGCTGCTTTAACACTGTAAATAATGACAACTTGTGAACTGTCAACAGAAAAAGTTTCACATAGGAAAGTGCTCTCTTTCTCTTTTTTGTGACAAACAAGAGTTATGATATTGTTGTTGCTACAGAACTTTCCACACTGATTTTTATTTCCTAAGTGTTATAACTGCCTCTTCAGCTCTGTGTTTAGTCCAAGGTATTTGTGTGCATGTCAAGTCAGCACATGTCACGTGACAGACAGCTCAGCAACATCAATGTGGAAGAATGAAATGGAAAAAGAAAAGAGGAGATCAAGTTGTATGAAAGAGTAACTTTCTAATATCTGGCCTGATTAATAAATCAGTTTAAATACATGTGACTGTTGTTCAAGGATTCAAGGTTCTTTATTGCCATTCGCATCACATGTGGTACATGTGGTGGAACGAAATTGTGTGCACAGGGTCCCAGTTAAATCCAACAAAAGTATAAATTTTAAAGAAAAACAGTAATAAGATATAAAATATGAACTAAGAAAAAACATTAACTAAAAATACACTGAGCACTACTACTATTAAAACAATACGCCAAACAGCAGCACGAACATGAGTCTGTGTGAACAGATGATCATGAATGAACACAGCAGTATGAAACAGATCAGCAGCAACATGAAACAGATCAGCAGCAACATGAAACAGATCAGCAGCAACATGATGTGATTTTTCACAGTGATTATTCTGGTTAGAGATTCATGAATCTAAAAGCCTCAGGGTAGAAGCTGTTCCTCATTCTAGTGGTTCTACACTTAATGCTCCTCAACCTCCTTCCTGAGGGGAGCGGGACAAAAAGTGTGTGTGCTGGGTGAGTGGGGTCCTTCATGATGCAGGTGGCCCTCTTCCTACATCTGGAGGTGTAGATGTCTGTGATGGTGGGGAGACTGACTCCAACAGTCTTCTGTGCAGCCTTCACCACTCTCTGCAAAGCTTTTCTTTCTGCAGCTGTGCAGCCTTCATGCCACACGTTGATGCTCGAGCACAGGATGCTCTCCACTGCACACCTGCAGAAGGAGGTGAGGACTGAGCTTCCCAGATCAGCTTGCCTCAGCCGCCTGAGGAAGTAGAGTCTCTGATGAGCTTTCTTGATCAGGCTGGTGGTGTTGTTGCTCCAGCTGAGGTTGTCATTCAGGTGCACACCCAAGTACTTGTAGCTGGAGACCACTTCCACCACAGATACTCTTATATTCAGGGTGGTGGGGTGGTGGTGGTGATAGGTGTATTTGTTCCGTTTGAAGTCCACGACCATCTCCATCTTCTTCACATTAATGGGAAGGTTATTCTTCTTGCACCAGCTCTCCAGATGTTCCAGCTCCTACCTGTAGCTGGACTCATCATTGTTTGTGATGCATCCCACCACCGCTTTATTGTCTGCAAACTTTACAATATGACAGCCTTGATGGGTAGGTGCACAGTCATACATGAGCAGAGTGAACAGGAGAGGGCTCAGCACACAGACCTGAGGGGAGCCAGTGCTGAGGGTTATGGTGGAGGAGAAGTAGTGGATCCTCACTGACTGTGGTCTGTTTGTTAAGAAGTCCAGGGCCCAGTGGCAAATGGAGGGGCTTAGTCCTAGTGTGAATAGTTTGTCCATCAGGGTTTGGGGGATCATGGTATTGAAGACATATGTGAAGTCCACAAAGATCATACAGATGTAGGAGTCCTTCTGCTCCAGGTGGGTGAGAGCAGTGTGGACTACAGAGGAGATGGTGTCTTATGTTGATGGATTCTCGCAGTATGCATACTGATGAGGGTCCTCTATGATATTGATGGTTGTTCTGTTGTGGGTCTTGACCAGTTTTTTGAAGCATTTAACAACTATCGGGGTGAGGGCTACTGGCCAATAGTCATTCAGACCAGTCATTGTAGAGCTCTCTGGGACTGTGATGATGGTGGCGGTCTTCAGGTAGGTTGGAACTGTTGCCAGGGTAAGTGAGGAATTAAAGATGTCGGCCAGCACATCGCAGAGCAGATCAGTATAGTCTTTCAGCACCTTCCCAGGGATATTGTCTGTGCCAGTTTCTTTGTGAGGATTAATCCTCCTGAAAGTACTCGTCACTTCGGCTGAGGTCACGCTGAGAAACTATTCTTCCGGTGGTGAAGTGAGTGTAGTGCTGGGTGGCCTGTTCGGGTCTTCAAAGTGTGCATAGAACCTGTAAGGGCATCAGGCAATGATGAGTCTCTAGGGCATTGTTCACTTCTGCCTTTATAATCTGTTATACACTCAATGCCCATAAGTTGTAACATCTGTTGTAAAGTAAATGCAGCACTGAGCTGTAAGCCAGAAAATAGAATGTACACAAGAATGACCATTTAACAGAACTCGTGTTTGTGAGAAACAAAATTGTAATTTTTGTTTCACTTCTTTCTCTGGCCTATTTAAAAAGATGTGGATTCACAGCCAATCCTAATGTAGGCTTTGAAAGTGACTTCTGTTGTGACTTGGCGCTATATAAATAAACTGAATTGAATTGAACAAAATGATTTTTCAGTCCATCTGAAATGCTTTTGTTTACACTTAGACCTTGTTTTTACCAATAACATGCACTCATTATACTTTCTTTAGTTTTGAAATGTAATACATAGATATACTTGCAGACATAAGCTTGCTTACACACTTGTCTTTGCTTAGCCACCCACATGTGAATTGTAGCAAATGTGAGATGTACAAACCGGATTCCAAAAAAGTTGGGACACTAAACAAATTGTGAATAAAAGCTGAATGCAATGATGTGGAGGTGCCAACATCTAATATTTTATTCAGAATAGAACACAAATCACAGGTCACAAGTTTAAATTGAGAGAATGTGTCATTTTAAGGGAAACATCTGTTGTTTCCAAATTTCATGGTGTCAACAAATCCCAAAAAAGTTGGGACAAGTCCATTTTTACCACTGTGTGGCATCCCCCCTTTTTCTTACAACACTCAACAGACGTCTGGGGACAGAGGAGACCAGTTTCTCAAGTTTAGAAATAGGAATGCTCTCCCATTCATGTCCAATACAGGCCTCTAACTGTTCAATCGTCTTGGGCCTTCTTTGTCACACCTTCCTCTTTATGATGCGCCAAATGTTCTCTATAGGTGAAAGATCTGGACTGCAGGCTGGCCATTTCAGTACCCGGACCCTTCTCCTACGTAGCCATGATGTTGTGATTGCTGCAGAATGTGGTCTGGTATTATTGTGTTGAAAAATGCAGGGTCTTCCCTGAAAGAGATGACGTCTAGATGGGAGCATATGTTGTTCTAGAACCTGAACATAGTTCTCTGCATTAATGGTGCCTTTCCAGACATGCAAGCTGCCCATGCCACAAGCACTCATGCAACCCCATACCATCAGTGATGCAGGCTTCTGAACAGAGCATTGATAACAACTTGGGCTATCCTTGTCCTCTCTGGTCCGGATGACATGGTGTCCCAGTGTTCCATAAAGAACTTCAAATCGTGACTCATCTGACCACAGAACAGTTTTCCATTTTGCCACACTCCATTTTAAATGACCCCTGGCCCAGTGCAAACGTCTGAGCTTGTGGAGCTTGCTTAGAAATGGCTTCCTCTTTGCACTGTAGAGTTTCAGCTGGCAACGGCGGATTGTGTTCACTGACAATGCTTTCTGGAATCATGTCCAGATGACATGATCCAACCTTTTTTGTTGTTATATACCTGGATGACTGAGAAAACAAACTTTGTGTCTTTCTGGAAGTATTCCTGAGCCCATTCTGTTATTTCCTTGACAGTGGCATTCCTGTTTGAGGTGCAGTGACGTTTAAGGGCCCGGAGATCACGAGCATCCAGTAGAGTTTTACGGCCTTGACCCTTACGCACAGCGATTGTTCCAGATTCTCTGAATCTTTTGATGATGTTATGCGCGGTTGATGATGATAACTTAAAAGTCTTTGCTATTTTACGCTGGGTAACACCATTCTGGTATTGCTGCACTATCTTTCTGTGCAGCAATGGTGGAATTGGTGATCCTCTTACCATCTTGGCTTCTGAGAGACACTGACACTCTGAGAAGCTCTTTTTATACCCAATCATGTTGTCAATTGACCTAATTAGTGTTAATTGGTCTTCCAGCTGTTTGTTATATGCTCAATTTCCTTTTTCCAGCCACTGATTGCTACTTGCCCCAACTTTTTTGAGATTTGTTGACACTGTGAAATTTTTAATCAACATATTTTTCCTTTGAAATGTTACATTTACTCAGATTAAACTTTTGATCTGTCATTATGTTATAATACAAATAAAATATTGACATTTGCCATCTCCACATCATTGCATTCAGTTTTTATTCACAATTTGTTTAGTGTCCCAACTTTTTTGGAATCCGGTTTGTACAACTGGCTCAAACACCTGGTGCAAATTTGATCAAAAATAGGATCATATGTTTCATATTGCTGTCTTCTTTTTTTATCTGTCAGTAGGAAGATAGGTGGTCCAGAAAATTGTGGAGATCACGTTTATTGATGTTTATATTCAACCAGCTCAGAACAGGGATAGCGATAAAGTTGTTTTGTCTGAAAGAATAAACGGCATCATGGGATCGTTGATTGGGACATGCAGTATATTTTTTACTCGGTTCCTTAACTGGAGTCACATTTTTGACACTTGTCTCCTGAACGTGACTCAAACTGTGTTTTTACATGTGCTTTTCCTTTGAATTCCAACATCCTTACATCTGTATTGTAAACTAAAAATGTTAGTAATGGGTGAATTTTGTCATGACATTTGCTCAGAGTTTGAATTCTTTAGATTGAAAGAAATACAGCATCAATGTACTTCAGAGGTTCTTTATGTTTTGTTTTGTTGTTCTATCTGTTCATTTTTGCTCTCTCTGTTTTTTGTTTTTTTCCACCAACCAGACACTGAGAGTTTGGTCAATGGGAATCACCAGGCCAGGCCATTCCGGTCCCCCCCAACTCCTGGAGGAAGGGTCCAGTCTGAGCACAGTGCAATTGTCAGCTCCATTGAGAAGGACCTTCAGGACATCATGGATTCCTTAGTCATGGATGACCCTGATCCTGAGCCCTGTTCATCAGAGGCTAAAAAGCCTCCTGGAGCCCAGTCCAGTTCCCTCTCCCCCTTGTCACCTATAGTTAATGGAGGGGGGAGGCATCTGTTATCCCCTCCTACCAGCCCAGGGTCCATGTCTGTAGGGTCCAGCTATGAAAATGCATCTCCTCCTTTCTCCCCCCTCTCTTCCCCCTCAGCAGCCAGTAGTGGGAGCTTTACCAGCCCATCTCCTTGTGGGGGACCCCAGGACCAGAGTTCTTCTCTGCCACCAGTGCCTACACGCTCCTCCAGCTACAACTTTACCACCCAGCCTCCTCTTTTTCCAAGGACCATACTGCCTAATTTCAGCAGTGCTGGCATGGGCCAAAAGGTTCAGGAAAGCCCTAGGCTGCAGAGGAAGCTCCTAACAGAAGCTCCTTCAAGTCCCAAGCCAAACCACAGAGGACTCAACCAAGATGGATCAGAGAGCCCTCTACAGATCTCTCTGTTGTCCTCCAGTGAATCTCTCAGTGGTAGAAACATTGTGCCAAGCAGTCCTAGAGTCACACCCAAATTCTCTAACTGTCCATCCCCATCTCCTTCCAGTCCCAGGACCAAGACTACCTCGGTGCTCCAGGAAACACCTGCCAGTCCTTTTAGGGAGCAGACCATTCTAGCAGATCACTCCTTGAACTCCAGCCCCTCAAGGCAGCTTTCTCAACCCAGCAGAGCATTTCAGCCTCCCCTAGACCCCATTGTTCATATTATCCAAGGATCTCCACTCCAGCAGCATCCACGTTCACTGCAGCCCCCTGAGAGCCCTCGCATGGCCAGGAGGAACTTGGAGTTGAATGGTGGCAGTGGAGGAAGCAGTAGTATGAGAGAGCTGCCACCTCTAAGTCCCTCATTAGCTCGGAGAGGAGTCCCAGTTCTTCCAGGAGCACTTCCAGGAACAATCCCTACATTGAGGACTCCAGAGAGCCCCTCAAATCTGGGAAGATTTGTCCCAGAGAGTCCCAGGCTTCGCCGCAAAACTGGGTCCACAACCGAGGAACCATCTTGCAGTAGAGGGATCAGAGCCCGCAGTCCGTCTCCTACTTCTATGATGATGGAGGGTGGTAGTGGTGCGGGCATACGGAAGGGGAGCTTTGGAAATCCTCTGTCGCCTGCTTACAGTCTGGGATCCCTACCTGGTTCATCCCCTGTAGCCAGCCCCAGGACCCAGAGGAAAATGTCTTCAGGGAGACCCCACCCAGGAATGCGGGAGAGGAAGAACAGCATCACAGAGATTAGCGACAACGAGGATGAATTGCTGGAGTACCACCGACGTCAGAGAGAGGAGAGGCTCCGGGAGCAGGAGATGGAGAGATTGGTGAGTTAAGTCTTATTATTAATCCACTTAGCAAATTGCTTCCATAGACCTGAAGAATATTTGAACTACAAAAATCATTTAAATCCAGATTCATATTTGCACTGGGATTTAGACTTCTTCTTGCTCCTAGATGTCATCTCAGTGAGGACATGTTTTAAATTAATTTGATTTAGCTTGTCCTTAATTCACTGCAACTGATTTAAGTTTTACGAATAGCTTTGATCAATTCCAGACCAACGTATAATTGTTAACAGGTTATTAAATTTTGCTGAGATGTTTTAGACATATTAGAAAATATTTTTTCTGTGTTTTAAAGCATAGAAAACATTTATTATACTTTGCCCTTTTTAAAAACCTCTAATTTCCAACAATGACCCAGTTGTTCATGCAGAGGGATGCTCTCAATCTAATCTTTGTTAGAAACATTGCAGCATCTGTGTTTGTTTGCAAAAGGAGGAGGTGGACACAAGTCCATAAACCATCTTAGTAAACTGTCGGCAACTTGGCTGCTGTCTGTCTAAATCGCTGCTGACACATACTGTCATTGTGGCTGAATGAGCCCATAGCAACCACATTGTTTGTTGTTTTCCAAACTAAATGGAGGTGGGGATTGAGGGAGTTGCAGTAAACATCTTGAACTTGTCTGCTAAGCTGAGTAAGTCTGCACAGACAAAAGTCCCTATAAGAAAGGCTTTACATGCGTTTGTGGCTTTGTGAGAAGGCATTTGTCTACTGTGTTAGTAATTGGTGTGTAGGCATTTTACACAGAGCAGGACAGAGGAGACAGAGCAGCTTTACAGACTGAGATAACGTGACCTCTGTCTCTGTGTGCTCTGTTCTCACACCTCCTGAAGAGATGGGGCTGTAAAACAGCATGCTGGACATGATTCACCCACAGAGGCCATGTTTTACCCTTAATAGGGGGTTGGCTCCCTCCTTTTGGTGGACATTGGCATCAGAAGCATTTGTAATGTGGGAGAGACGCACTGGTGTTGGTAGTGGTAGTGGTAGTGGGGGTCTGGTGGTCCTCCCCCAGAAATGACTGAATAAAGTGGATGCCATTTCCTGCATTCTGATGTATTTTACCGGGTTGTTAAACATCTATGTTTACCTTCACAAGTAAACACTTGATTCAATAAGTATTTTAGAATAGCCTAACCAACAGCCCCAACCCCCCTTTCGACAACTGCCAGCACTAGCGCTAAGCTAGTGACACACAATACAAACATGCTAGCTAAGATGCTACAGACGTAGCGCTTGACTTCTATCACCCAACCTACCCCTCACTCCCTGGTCAACAACTGCCAGCACTAACGTAGTGCTAAGCTAGCGACACACAATACAGATGTTCTAGCTAAGATGCTACAGATGTAGCACTTCACTTCATTCATGCATTCTAAACCCCCTCCCTGATCCATCATCTTCCTCTTGTTCTGAGGTCAGGTCTTGGGGGCAGCATCTTGAGCAGGGAGGTCCAGACATCTCTTTCCACAGCCACCTCTTCCATCTCTTCTGAGCCAACCGAGAGACATAGTCTGTCCAGCATGTCCTGGGTCTTCTGGGGTCTCCTCCCAGTCAGACATGCCTGAAGCATGGGAGCATCGTTACCAGATGCCCGAACCACCTCAACTCAACATTTTTACTATTTTATTTTTATTTTAATGGTAAATTAAATTTAGACTCTTGCTGTATTTTTTTGTTGTACCAAAGTTATATTTGGACATAATGGTAACCTTTTTTCAAAAACAAAAAGCTTAAGTTTCATTCCCACAATGTGTAGTGTTAAAATTATTTTTTCCCCCTCAGAACAAGGTTATGCATTTAATTTTCATTGCCAGCAGATGTAGCCTTTATTCCAAAAAAATATTAAAACCTTTGCTAAAAGTAAAACATGATTGGGTTCAAAAATTTGTTCCAGGGCAGAGAAATAAGTAGTCATTCTGGTCAGATTGCCTGGTTCATTTCCCTGTTTTAAGTTGTAGTCTATTAAAGTTGGATGGAAATTTACAGCTGAGCTGGACCTGAGCTGCAAGCCAAAGCTCTCGGTTTATGGGTTGGTCTACGGTCCTATCCTAACTTATGGTCATGAACTGTGGGTAGTGACCAAAAGAATGAGATCGCAGATACAGTACAGGCAGTCTAAAAGAGTTTCCTCTGCAGGGTAGCTGAACTCTTTGTTAGAGATAAGGTGTGAAGTTCAGTTATCAGGAGAGACTCGGAGTAGAACTGCTGCTCCTCCACATTGGAAAGAGCCAGCTGATGTGGTTTGGCGTCTGGTAAGGATGCTCCCTGGACACCTCCCTAAGGAGGTGCTTCAGGCATGTCAGGCAGGGGGAGACCCCGAGGAAGATCCAGGACACGCTGGAGAGACTACATCTCTCAGTTGGCCTGGGAACAACTTGAAGTCCCCCCAGAAGAGCTGGAAGAGGTGGCTGTGGAAAGAGATGTCTGGACCGCCCTGCTCAAGCTGCTGCCCCAAGACCCGACTTCAGAACAAGTGGATGATGATGGGTGGATGGATGGATGGATGGATGGATGGGTGGATGGATGGATGGATAGAAATTGCACAATAAGTTCAGTGGATATACTTCAGTGTCAATTTTTGCCAAATATTTTTTAAGTAAGTATTCACTGAAAATAATCATTTTATTTAGATATTTATAACATTGTTTAGTTTATTATTTTTTGAATATGTAAAACAGCAACATGAAAATACAGCATGAAGCATAATGTCAAAACTTTTTGTTTTACATATTCAAGGGAGTGGGTAGAAGTATAAACTTATCAAAATTCCCACTCGTTAACCACTTGCATGATCTTACATTTATTACATGTATAATCTGTACATATAACAACTATTTGTTGTTTGTAAAGATTGTGTTGTAAAGAACTTTGAGTATCTTGATAAGATAGAAAGATGATATATAAGTACAGTCCACTTATCATTTAATATTGTTTCCACTGAGACTAAACGGAAACTAGCTACTAAGATTTAAGGAGTGTTCAGAAATACTGAATGGTAAAACTCACAGGATCTGGACTGGGTTCTCCAGAGCATTTTCTCTAAGGGTAAACTATTTCTCTAGTGTTGAACGAACCCTCGTAAAGGTCTTTGGGAACATTTTGTTGGCGCCAGCATACCTCTGTGCTCTGGCATTAATAAACTTTAATCATTTAGCAATATAAATCAAAACAAAGAAAAATAAATTTTATTCTCCATAAATCTTAAGGGAAAATCAAGAAAAAAACATTTAGAAATGTTCTAGTGCTAAGATTTGTTTTCATACGGACTTGCCTGGTGGTTGCAACATATCTCCTTCAGATATGCCAAAGTATTTGTAGCTTCCAATGTTTTTACAGAAAATCTAAAGCCTGAACAGGAGAAATGTTCATGAAGGTGCTCACTGTCTGCAGAAACAATAACTATCCAAACGGGGAATAGGAATTTACTTTCAAGGTGAGACATAAAGTTTAACCTCTACACATCTATTGTGCGAACAATCACGTGTCTTGGGCTGACAAACTCTAAACCTCTTTGTTGGCCACAACCTTTCAGCTGGTACAACTTGCAGGCACACAAAGTACCGTATTGACATTAGATACTGTGTGCACAGCTCACAGGATTCTGGGTCAAGAGCAGAACTTTTGGGTAAATAAGGCTCTCTGGAACTGAGGCTTTTTGAGACTTGCAAGCAAGATTCCTCATCAGACCGTTATGTTCACGTGTTTCTCAGACTCTGACACTCTGAAGATGCAGGGCGCGGGACTTTCAGGGCCTGTAATTAGTCAGTGGAGTCAAAGTCAGGACGGTTTCTCTTCCCTTTACAAGCTCACTCGGCCAATTACTCAAAGTGTGAGCAGCGAGCCTTGGAATGATGTTATAAAAAATCAACAGGAAGACGCAGCATCGAGGCAGCTGGGAGTCTGATGCACCGATGAGCTCGAATAGACTTTGTTCTAGAAACAGATTTAGCAGCATAATTATAATTTAATAAATGGGAAGAATTTGAATGTTAGATTGAGAATGATGAAGTTGTAGCTGTTTTGATCAACCCTTGGAAAAGAATGTGCAGTATTACACAAGCTCACACTGAGTGTGTGTTGGTGTGACTCAGCTACTACCACATTGTTCTATCTCGTCGTTTTTCTAACAGGCAGCTGGCTGTAGCAGCCATCTTGAACGGGGTTGATTACAAGAGTTAATCAGGTGTAGATTTACATCCAATTTTAGTTTCCGACAGTTTCACTAAAATTTATCCAGTGGGTCATCAGGCATTTTGCTAACACGACAGACAAATGAACACGTTAACAACACATGCACACATTTTTTTCTGTTTATAAGATCTTGTTTTGCTGCTTTGTTCTTAAATGGGCAGAGGCGTTGTTCAGTTGTGGAACATGTTCTAAAACAGGCACTCACTTGTAGAAACAGAATGAAGCTGTTCACTTTCTCGTTAGGAGAGAGTTGTTTCTTTGTGTCTGAAGGCCGCTCCATGCTCCTCCAGCTACGTTCTTTCTGTGTGTGTGTGTTTAATTTTGCTACTGTGAACAGAAAAACTCTTCTGCAAAGTGTTGCTCTCCTGCTTGAAAGTTCTTGTAGTGAACATCTCCCACTTTTTGAACGTTTTAGTTACGTTGTTGTGACGGACCACAGACTGGTGTCTTGTGTGCTGCACAGTGAATTGTATCATGTCCTGGGACACTGTTTTGTCTCATTTGACAGTGTGTTGCTCACAGTGATCAGAGTACACACTTGGTTTACGATGTTGTTCTCATATCACTCAGTTTGTTAGACTATAAAAGCTTGTCTGATGTCCTTTATAAAGGTTGTGTAATTACTGGGGCATGGTGTGTGAGATCAAACAGACAACTATGGTTTTATGAACAGCTCTCTTGAACTGCATTATCATAACGAAAGGATCTACTGTTTTCGAGCTGGATTTAAAGCCACGGCGTCAGCTTTTAACCACTTTTTGAGACGCGTCGCTGGTTTTGCAACT